TATATCTTCCCCCTCAGTTTTTCACTTATATGCAATCGGGGGCGTGCTGCACATTGACTCAAAGATTAGGAGCATACATCTAGTTAGTTAGTTAATTTGGCTACTTCACTAAAGGCCTGTGACTGTCACGTCACACAAATTATAATTGAATCGTAGACCTTGAAATACATCAACGCGCGTTTCGTATACCGGTCATTTTAACAGACTAGTGTGTGCTTTCCAGTTACTTTTGGGGTCATATTGTAGTAGAATACATCATCGGTCCTCCTTGCAGATGTTCATTTTTCCGAAGATAGGTGGTTATTGAGAGCGCTAGCCATAGTACTATGTAAACTGTGGTGGCAATGCAGCAAGGATTCATGTTTTTGGAATTGACAACACCTTATGACACCTTGGAAGGGCTAAGGACCCCAACAAACTGAAACAGCACAAAATGCGTGTACCGAATTCCCTGTGCAGAATGTCTGGCCAAATACATGCCAGACATCTCCATCTCACGGAGTAAACAGCATGCGTATTTTCATAAAGAAGCAAGTTTTTTTTAAAGAATTCGAACGCCATTCGGCCATTGCACTCCATGCAGTTGAATTTAGCTTCAACACTCCCGGTGCCTAGCTGCTATGCCACCCGAAGGAGGCACGAGGACTGGGATACTGCCAGGGTGCCCAAGCCCAGACAGGGGAAGTCGAGAGGCAGAGGTCGGGTTCGAGCCACGGACCTTCTGGTCAGTAAATTAGCGCTCTTACCGCTTGAGCCATCTCGCCCCGACTTCGATGGTGCACGTATAGTGAAGTCAGGATGGAATGGAAGTGCGCTGAGGTCCTGGAGATCAACACTGGGTTGGCCACCCCTCTGTTTACGCCACTCCGAATTGGGCATGGAAAACAGTACTCTCTTCGGCAAACGATGATTTGGCGTACGCAACACATGTCCCAACCAACGCAGCTTCTGGTGCTGGTGGTGATCCTACCAGCATTCTGTCTATATGACTTGAAGTTACTGTACACTTTAGGTGGCATAGTAGCCAGATGTCAAACGGGGATCTCGAAATGACGCACCACAGCCAGCAGAACAAACGGAGGCACATCCCTACCAGAGTGCACACAATCACGCGTACACGCACACAGAGCTAACACATGCACGCTGGTTGAATCTGACCGCCCATTGACCAAAGGAACACACCAATATGAAGGCTATTACTCAACTGATTGTAGAAATCGTTGAAAAAGGTGATCCAGGGCAACCGAAACGTCGGATTACAACACTATTCCACTACCGTGTTTTGACTGAAAAATTCCACATTATACACCACATGGCGCTCAGTCATTCTAATACTATTAGAGCTGAAGTCGGCCAAGAACTCTCATGGTGTTCATGATAAAACACTGTCAAAAGAAGACTGCTGCAGCAATTTGCAAATTTGAACACATTGGATGGGAGGCGATATTATGCATGACTAATGCGGTCTTACATGTCATACACGGGAACAGACCAACAAGTGTTCTGGCCTGCCACCAGCCACAAGTGGACTAGGCTGATGCTTTTCAGGAAAGGAAAGATCGATAGGCTAGCTTAACAGATTGTAAAGCCTATGCAAATGCATTCCATTGTAAACTATAATAGTGAACTTTGAGGGGCTGTTTTGTACCGGGAAAAGACTAAACCAGAGAAGTATTAGATGATGATCTGAGCAGGCACCTTGTGTTGTCATTCGACTTACTATAGGTTACATCATGCAACCTACTCTAGCGAATTACTTGTTAGACTATCATGCGAATCAAACAAAAGTAGGAGAAAAACACCCAGAACTGCAGAACTTTTCTAGTCTGAGAACATTTGATATGCGTGTTGAAAATCCGGAAGGCATACCGAACAGGCTTCGCGGCAGTCCACTACAGTGCCCCCAATCTTCGCAGGCGGGCTAGAGTCAAGCAGAACAGGAACTAGTCGACATTTTAGGTATCGCCACCGATTGCTTTACATGGGCAGCCGCGCATGGGGGTATTCATAGATTCTATTCATTCTTCCTTGGGATAAAGTCGCGCAAAGTAATAGAAAATGCAATTCAGGAATTATGCTTCGTACCATACCATAGCATACAACAACCGAGTTCACCTGTTGATTAATCAAGTCTGGTAGCATGTCCCCACATTCTAAGACCCGGTTGTTCTCCGAAAAGTTTGCGGTGCGACGGTCAGGCGGGTACCTAAGAAGACTATTAAAGGCATTGCTCACAACTTCCCCATAATGATGCTTTGGGTAGCATAAAACGACGACCTTGGTTACTGTATGAACTGACTGATAAGGCGCACTCTGATAGCACATCAGACTCAACCGACTGACGGAACCGTTCAAGTAGACTGAAGTTACGCGTAGGATAGTTACAACACAAAATGCCAAGTTTCGGGAGCACGAAAAACGAATCAGGGAGGTTTGATACGAATCTATTCGATACTCGAACTGCCCCCATACTTCGATCTTGCTTACCACCCGAAATGGTAAACCGACTAGGAGTTGCACTTGGCGAAACACTGACAAGCTACACTTCAAATAACCACACGTGGTCCTAGTCATCCCATTCTGACAGCATAAGGTGGTTACACAAGCCAATATTGCCGTACCCTTTATTAACGAGGTTCTCGGGATATGGATGTATTCCTCGAATCCGCCATAGAAAGCAGTGATTAAGCTGTTGTAGCCCTCTCCTTCCGGCCAACCGGTTATCCTCGGACGCAAGCCGCGGAGCTTTTGGAGTATGGCAAGTAGTAAAGGTGACGTCCACCACTGGATCCGGATCAACGTACCGCTAAACATCTCTCTATCTGACGGAATAACTAAATCCCGACTAACTAGTCAAAATACACCTTCACTGTCGACTACACGGCATTAGCAAGGCCTACATGAATGGATACGACTCGTCTCATCAAAAGGTATCATCACAATCACCATCGACAGCATGACATCAGTGTTCAACACCGATGCTTTGCTGCCGTAGGACCATGATTTATTTGAAAGCCTTATTGTGAATGAAACATTTGTTGCAACAGCCATCCGCTAAAGTAGACCAAACGCTTCACAACTCACTGACGTCGTCCAAATCTGATATGCAAAGACTAGACAATACCTGAGTAACCAGTCTCCCCTCCTATTTAACCATTCCAAGACTTCTCCAACTAATCCTGTTGATCCGCGCTGAGAGCATAAAGAGCAGTGCTACACCCTTTCTTCACTTGTGCCTTTCAGGTGAACGACAGCCACTGACCGACAAGAACAAAACCGACCCGGGAAACTTGGGTAAAAGCCTCGATCCTGTGTATCAATCCGTGACCACGGTCCCATGGTTACATCACCTGTGGTCAGGATCTTGAACACGATTGTGATATGACGAGAAATACGCCTCTAACAAACGCATATGCCTGGTAGGATAGCGCAAAAAAAAGAAAAAAATATAAAAGGGATGGGCTAGGATCAACAACAAAGGAACATTACTACCAACCTCATGGTCACGTCTGGAGAATCGAAGCGCCCGCGCAACGTGTGAAACCGCTGCTCTTTAAAACAACGATTGCTTAGCAGTGAGAGAATTTCTTTGATTGTGAATCAAACCTGTGGTAGAAACTATTCTATTCACGTTTAAAGTTCACAAAGAAGATCGCTTTTTGCTCACTCCAGGGTGTGATGAATTTGAGGTGGTGTTCGATAATAGTCGAGCTCCCCTTGGAGCCAAGGCTTAGATCCCATCCATAATTTCTCCGAAACCATCGTTTGAAGGGGAGAAACTTTAACATAGACTTGTAGATTTTGATGGTCACTATTCGTAACCTTGTGATCTCCTCACGCGGCCGTAGTTTTGTTGGAAATTGTTTGAACGAACTCATGCCCACTGGTCGCGAAATTCGGACTTTAATGTCTGCCAATGGCTCCACACTCCGCGTACTAGACATACACCTAAAATTTCCTTGGAACGCAGTTCGCAAAAGTTAGTTCGTCCACTTTTTTCTCCTTCAGTTTATTTAAAACTGCTCTGAAAGAGTATATGATCAAAAACTTCATCGTTTTCGTCCGCACATGCTTCAAAAACAGAGGCAGTTCTCTACTTCTATATTGAAAAGCGTCCTACCGTTGTAGCAGACGTCTTGCAGACGAAGTCTTGGCCGTGGAATTCGCAACACCCAGTAAGTTTATCGTTATTTTTTGCACCGGGTGGCATACATTATACCGGTTGTCCGCGAGATTCCATGTTCGCTGGTGGCATGACTGCTTGATGGTTACTTCCTACCATCTGGAGTACAACCATCCACGCAGCAAGTTTATGTCTTACAGGCTCTTCATCAGCCGGTGCCTGACAAATAATAAATTAGAGGAGTGTGTTATCTTTTTGGAGTATGGTGCTCTCTCCTCAAAGATTCGGTAATACGTCGCCGACGGTTTCGGAAAGGTACTTACTATCAAAGATATTAACAATTGTTGCGCCAAATGCCGACTGCCATGGTTAAGTAGGCCGGCGGTCACATTTAACCGGGTTTCTTACATGGTATGTCATCCATCATAGCCAAGTTTTGAGAGCCCGGCGCCGTACTGTTGGTGGAAAAAATGGTGGCATTTTTACCCACCTCTGCTTTTCCCGAACGCCGCAGATTGCGATTTTTTGACGTTTCCCGAACGCTGTAAACGTCGATGCTTCGCACGAGACCAACCGCTTGAGCAAGTAACTTAGAAGCTTCTGACGTCCACTGTTGAGGTTCAAGCTATACACATTCCTTGTGAAGGATGGCATTGGTGCTGCTTGACTCGTAATGTATGCCTTCGTTTAAAGCGAGCGTTTTGCGCCTCTTGGTAAACTGTTCTGCTTGTTGAAGAATGTGATGGCGGAACTCTTGTCACGGACAAGTTGAGTTCGCAGATGCGAACCACTAAACCTGTTTTCGTCTGCTATGCAATGATGTACCATTCTCACTCACAACAATCCAGCTGGAAATAGGTACGTTTCATTGTGTTACCGTAAATCTTGCAGACGATTCCTTACCGCGGCCGGCACGTATTCCATCGCGTGGCCCGCTTTGACAACGCAGCTGAGTGAGTGACCGCGCACCGAACAATGATCGCGCAGTTTTCACCACGATTTACGAATCCTGCGGAGAACAGACCCCATGTTTGTCTCCTGCTTGACTTCCAGCTGGCTGTTCGCCATTCGAAAGTGGGCCATTAATGCACAGCGTTGATTGGTACACTTTGGGAATGTGATCAATAACCGCCTGGAGAACGCCAACGAGCGTTTGAAGAGGCGCGTGCATCACCCCGATAGCCTGGAGCACGTCATCAAGAAGGTCGCTCAGCACAACGAATGTCTCATGTGCCAGTATGAGATTCATGCCACTTAGTGCTGTGATCGCCGAGAAATTCGCCAGGGGAACAGCTACGTTATACATGTGGTTTCCCGGATGACGACGTACGCCGTCAATTAGTTTCTAGGGCACATTGGAACGTGCACGCCAAATCTGATATACCATCCGACAGATCGCTTCAGGGTGAGAAGCCCGTTGTTGGTAAGTCAGTTTGTGGAAGAAACCCCAAAATATTCTCAGTCAGTTAACACCTTGACCGGAACCTGCGGTGCTTCTTTTACTAGTCTATGCGGCTACCCTGTGCACACCTATTCCCGGTATTCAGCCGCCACTCGTTCCTTTGCGGTCAGCTGACTAATGAAACATATAGTGCCTAGGTCAATTTCCAATCCATCAACATCGGCTTGCCGGACACAATTAGAAGGGAAACGTGCACGCCAAATCTGATATACCATCCGACAGATCGCTTCAGGGTGAGAAGCCCGTTGTTGGTAAGTCAGTTTGTGGAAGAAACCCCAAAATATTCTCAGTCAGTTAACACCTTGACCGGAACCTGCGGTGCTTCTTTTACTAGTCTATGCGGCTACCCTGTGCACACCTATTGCCGGTATTCAGCAGCCACTCGTTCCTTTGCGGTCAGCTGACTAATGAAACATATAGTGCCTAGGTCAATTTCCAATCCATCAACATCGGCTTGCCGAACACAACCTATCAGAAGGTAGAACTCTATATCTGGCTTCAAAGCCACAGCGATCACCAGTCGAAGGTTTGCACAAGCAGCTGGATAGGTTGGTTGGCAAACTTAAGCTGCTGTAATCACGTAATGCCGCAGATGCTTGAAGCCTCTGATTGTCCAAACGCAGATGACGTTGCGTCGAAATTCAACTGGTGCACAGGAGAGTCGGCCTCCAGTGTTGGAGCGCAACCATACCCAACCAATGTGGCATTCTACATCGGAAACCGCCGTTTCTTGTGATCTTGGTTGGCAGCCAACTGAGCCTGCTGATTGCTGGTGTCCGCTTTTATCAGCGATGCCATTGAACAACAATGCAATTTGACAGTGGTGTTTCCGTGAATTTATGGCGTGCGCACTATCAACGCGCGCAGTTATGAGTATGAAGGACCGTTTATGGCCATTGGGTCAGGTTGTAGTGCATAGGTGAGGCCTCCAAATCAGCGTTGCCCATGGCAGATGCGATAAGTAGTCCAGATGAGTGACAGTGGCTGACGTTATCATTCCACCTACGGAGAGCCATACCCCCGGTATGAGTTTGCTTCTAAGTGCAGGCAATGAAACGAGTGTGCGAAAGAGTACAGTCACAAGTAGGGAGCGAATAGTTGCGAGTGTCCTATCAAACTGGGTATGACAGTGTCGTGCCATCGCTGCGCCGATATACTTCCGTTTCTGGGCAGTCTTGTGACGAAACTCATGTTTGAGGTGATTTTCCCTGGGATGTGCGATTCCATTAGTAGCTGGGTCTTTGAGTTGTTCAAGAGTATCCGCAGAGGTAGAACGAAGCCGACGCAAGGTACCAAGTATTATTCTGGTGGGACAGTATCATAATCCGGGTGAGAAAGTGGGTGCGAGAGACATGGTCACCAGTCCCCGGAGCACTGCTTCTGGACAAGCAATCACCGAACCAGCCACTTACAGTCCAAGGAAATGCATACGAATTTGTGGAGCGTTCTACGGGCATTCGAAGTTGTATTAGTTCTGATTGTAGTTTGACAGACGAAGGCCACCCTTGGTCGTTGGATTAGTTTATTATGTGTAGCTGGGGCATAACAGACAGCTACGAGCATGTGCACGCGCCTGATAGCCACTGTAAGTAGCCACCACATGTGACGTCGACTGCCGTCATGAGTATGATAGGCCGCCGTTGGCCGTTAGATTAGGAGATCACGCATAAATGAGGTTTCGTTTTTAACAGCCTGCATAGATATTAGACTGATGTTCACTATAGGCAGGAGAGATGAGTACCGCCACGTACAGTTATGAGTATGGTGTCCGTCAGCATCGCACAGACACGGCCCCATCAGTTACGATAATTGGCCGAAGTGAGTGAAAAGGGCCTTCGCTCCTGTACCCTTATTTGCCACCATTATATTTTCGATTTGTGACGTATTTCACCTATGGAACGCAACATTCCCAATTCGAACGATATCATCGTGTTGGTAATTTACCAGTAGACGCCGCATTGTCCGCAGGCTAGTTATGCATATCTGGGAAAGGGGATAATCTAAGATGTGTTTCGCGTTGCCACTGCACAATTCATGCAGACGTCCAACAACGACATACTTAATATAAGCTGAGATCCATTGGAAAGTTTGTCGCCACGAAGTTCGCTGGACAAAATTATCTGTCAGATTTGAAGGGTACAACGCAAACAACCGTCAGTGACCGATTTTCGTGGGTGGAATTTGCGTTGGAAATTCTGCAGATGTTTTTTCGTTCCCAAAGTTAACCGGAGAAGGCCAAAATAGGCCAAAGTGAGATTTCGGGTTCCATCTCTCGTAAACGGTGAAAATTGCAAATCGCTGGTGGTCTGTAACCTTGAATTTTAGCTCACTTAAACGAAATGCAATAAGTGAAATACCACGGGAAGGTAAAAATTAATAAGACAAACACCCTGTTAATGTCACGGTTTCGAAAATCCTATAGTTTCGGCGAAGATAGTCTGATTATTGTGATTATAGCCAGTTTCACTTCGCGCATTGTGTCCCTAAAGACTAGCTAAAATTTTGTACGCTGGTTTCTGTACGTGCTTTCTTCTATATTGGAATTGGAACAATTTCACGACTACTTGGACAATAATTACGCTCTCAGTGTCCGTAAAAACTCAGAATTGAACAGTCATCCGCAGACTATTTATGAAAAAGACTTCTGTAATTGCAACAGGCGTACCGGAAAACATATACAAGGATCTTGTCACAGCTGGTTTTATAATCAGCACAGGCTATGTCGGGTGCACCGAAAGGTGTAAACTCCAAGGGTGTACCAAAACTGTGATGCTGCCCTGGGCGGAATTAGTACGTTTACGGACAGAACAATTGCAAGGCACCATAGGTTGTATGGAGTAACAGAAGGAGCGGACAATAGAGTGGTCAAAGCTTTGTGGTTCTGGTACACGTGTAACGGAATGGGACGGTCTTGTATGCGAACACAACTTGCCCCTCCGAGAAATATTAGGGATACGACGAATTATGCACAAGACATCATAGTGAGTATGGCAGCCACCCCACAGCCATCGTGACGTGGTAATTGTGTTTGCATGCAGCCCCGTACATGAAAATCTTAGGTGAGTCTTTTGTGGGTATTGCTGTAGTTTGGGTCTGCCAAGTTATCCCCCCTACTAACTCTAAAAGCACAGTTATATATGGTGATTCGCCAATCCGGGGTATCCGCTGTTGACCCACTCCAGGGCCTAGTTGCCGAAAAAAGACTCACAGAAGGGAACACCACAGCTATATTCCGAGGGCGTGGGTGCGTGCGAGTGCGAACGTACAACGGTATCAAGCTATTTATTGGAGGGACACCGTCTGAACGTGATCGAATGCTGACGCACACGGTCTGTCTTTGGTATGAGGCTGCGACGCGCTGCATAGTGCGCGAGCGTTGTCTGACCTCGATCAACACTGACTCGCACTCTCTGGGTTTGATACAAGGCTGTGACGTGCTGCATATCAAGGGACGTTGTCTGTCTGGTTAACATCTGGCGGAGCTGAGAGTCTCGGTAGATTTCGGGCATTCAGGAGGCTGAGCTTCGTGATACCTCCACTTTTTGGCCGTTCAACGTGAGAGTTTCGACGAGGATGAAGTTGTAGACGTTCCATCCTTTTTCCGCTGCGACCGGTACGGCGTCCTGGTTGCAGCAATGGATGTGTTTTGGGCGGTAAATGCGAGGCCGTGGCTATAGGTTTTGGCCTTTGGAGGTGAAAAGCACAGGTACGTACGGCATACTGGCTTTTGACAACTATGATTGGTGCAGCCCATGAGGAGTAACTCACCGGTTTCAGGACTCTGGAAGCTTCAAGGCGTTTGAGTTTCGCATCAAGGATTGGTAGAAGGTCGTGTGGTACTGGCTTTTTATGTCTGTAAACTGAATGGACTTCCGTACGCGGATGTAGTACCGCTTTTGCTTTGAAGCAACATCCTAGACTACTGAAAACGCCTTCATATTTCTGTTGTAGTCGTAGGATTGCGACATCGCCTCAGACATTCTCAGGATTTGGGTCGGTTTTGATATGCAAAAGTTGTCGATTGACAGTGTTGAAAGAGGCAAGCGATTGATCCAGTTAATGCCCAGGTGACCGAGCCCACAACGGGCAAGATAGACAATATCACAAGCACGGTGGCCTGTTATCTCCATCTCACAATTAAATTCATCAAGTAGGTGAAGCTTACAACCTGAAGCATTTCTGGCAGTGTCAATTGTCGGTCTGAGTTTAGCTGATCCGATCCTTTTGCACATGCACCGGGCAACAGTCGTAACATCGCAAGCCGCACCGAACTGCAATCGAATTGTGCTTTCGTTTGCTCTGGTGAGCATCAATCTGGTTATCAAATGTTGCAAGTATTGCGTTAAAACGGGGCACGGATTGGCTCCGTCTGCTCCGTGACCTCCGGGTTTGACTGCGTCTTTCGCTAGCTTCCCGCGTCCGGTACTGGACCCATGTGCCCACGTCGATTGCACAGTGAACA